TTTATACTGCTTTATGGGTAACGCAAGGACCTTATCGTATCAAAATAGCTCTCATTTCTCCTTCCTGTCCCTTGTATCACTGCTGTCATTCATTTCACTCATCTGTATGCATACATACGTGGGTATTTATGATGTATACATATGCACACATAATCAAATATGTTGTTGCTGTTTTGAATAAGCTCTTACCTCTTAGATCTATTAGGGACAGAGAGATGAAAGTTTCTATTTCACCTTCACTTGTTCCTTCTTTGATGCGCTCCCTTTCTTCATGCAGAGTCTAGTTCCTGACCTCTATTCTTTTCCTTCTCTCTAATGAACCTAACATTTCTGCGAAGCAGGTCAAATTCCCTCAATTTTTGTTTGTCTGAAAAAGCCCTTATTTCTCCTTCACTTTTGAAAGATAATTTCCCTGGGTACGGAACTCTAGGTTAATGTTCTGCTTCTGCTTTTCTCTCAGTTCACTCTGCCCTCTTAATGTGTTCATGGTTACCAAAGAGAAGCCAGACGTAATTCTTGACTTCAGTCCTTGATAGGTAAAGTGAATCTTCCCCGGCTTCTGTCAAGACTTTTTCTTCATCCTTAATTTTTTTGTAGTCTGAAAATGATATGCCTAGGTTGACAGGGGTTCCCTCCCCATTTATCCTGCTTGATGTTCTCTGAGCTTCCTGGATCTGTTTTGATGTCTGACATGAATTTGAGGAAATCTGGTCATTACTGTTTTAAATATTTCTTCTGTTCCATCCTCTCTTTCTTCTCCCTTTTATATTACCATTATGCATATGTTACACCTAGTGCAACTGTCCCACAGTTCTTGGATACTTCATTCTCTTTTAAAGGTGTTCTCTTTCCTTTTCAGTTTTGGAGGTTAGAGTTGGTGAGACTCACCCCAGCAGGCTAGTCTCCAGTTAACTAGTTTCTCCTGAAGGCAGACCTTGTAAAGAATGCTGTGGCATATTTCAAAATGATCCCTTTTCTCTGTTGCCTACTGGACACATAAAGGGATTCTTCTCTGACATTTACTTTGAGAACCAGGTTGCACTCCTGGAGGCACAACCCCAAAAGCCTGGGGACCCCCTAGAAGCAGGCGCCCCTGGAGTTTTTGACTTGCAGCCCCACCCACACCTCACCCACAGCACTTTGCCAATTACAGTTGAAGGTTTCCATCCCAGCACTGGTTTCTGGAGCTTTCCACTATAGTATATTCTCTGTTTCCGCCTGTCTGGATAATTTTAGGGACAGCAGTTTGCCCTTCTCTTACAGACCTAAGAAGAGTGGCTGATTTTTCAGTTTGTTCAGCCTTTCAATTGTAGTTAGGATAAAGTGGTGACTTCCAAAGCTCCTAACGTGCAAAACCTGAAACTTCCTTATTTCCATATTTAAAAGAAATTTTTATCTTTCTCTGCTCAGCTCAAGTATTAAAATATTTTTCTCTAGTTCTTTGACATATTTTCATTTGATTCCCTGAATATTTATAACTGCAGATTTAAAATCTGTCTTCAAGCATCTAGACTAATGCTTTCCAGCAGAAATATGAGCGTCCTATATATTATTTAAGCCTTCTAGTAGCCACAAATATATAAGCGGGTACAATTAATTTCAGTAACGGTATTTTTATTTAACTCAAAATGTTCACCTTATCCTTTCAACAAGAAATGAAGACTGATGAAACATTTTCCATCACTTTTTTTCATATTAGCCGGCAGGCGTTTCACACTTAAAGCACACGCAGCTCATGCGTGCCACACCTCAGGTGTTCGGTCGCCACCAGTGGATACTGACTACTGGCCACGCAGTGGGCGCCATTGTGTATTCCTTACTTATTGACTGTTCTGCTTTCGTGACCACAGATTCTAGTTCCCGGTACTCTGTGTATCCAGTGGTTGTATACTGAATGCTGGACACTGTGGATAACATGCTATGGAGACTCGGGATCCTACACTTTCCTCTGAAGCTTTTTAAGCTTGCTTTAGCAGGCAGTTCAGTCACTAGCTGATCACCTGGACCTTGAGCAGAGGTGGACGCATTCTTGGTGTAGATCTGTGGAAAGCTCTCCAGTCCCTTTGCCTGCACCCACCTCTGCTCCCCCGCCCCCAACTTTCAGGATGGCTGTGCTCTGCTCAGACTTGAGCTCACTGTGCCACGGTGTGGACATTTTCTCCAGGCAGATAACTTATGAACTGTGGGCTCCTCACATGGGGTCTCCTGCCCTCTGGTTCAGTCCTGCACCGTTGTGGAGCTGTGGTACCCACACTAAAACGGTTGTCTCATTTGTTTCCTGCAGTTGTGCAGTTGTTTACAGTGGGTATGTTAGTTGAGTACTAGTTATTTCATTATGGTTAGAGGCAGAAGTCTTGGCAAATTATTCTTATAGGAGAGGGACCCCCCAAAACCCCAGATGTATAAACAAAGTGTATTTATTCTCACACTGGCACAATGTTTCCTTTTGAGGACTCTTTTCATCCATGAAAATAAAAAAAAGTCATTCAGGGTGAGATCAGGTGAATAAGGAGGGTGAGGCACAGGGATTGTGCCATTTTTGGCTCAAAAACTGCTGAACACGCAGCACAGTGTGGGCAGGTGCACTCGTAAATCACCCATCATGAAATGGGCAAACAAATAGAAAGAATCTCCAGAAACAATTCACTAAAGCTGAGCACAGCCTCTCACAGCAATGCTGGATGACACACTGATGTTGATGGGTTCCTAGAACAGTGGCCTAGTGGGGGATGCCTGTACAACAAGCCTGCCCTCCAAAAGGTAATTCCAGTTTTGGCTTTTGTGCCTGCCCCCCGCCCCCCCTGTATTTTTATATGTAAAAACGTAAGGCAAGTTTCACCAATAGAAGACAACAGCCCTAAGTGGATTTTTCCAGAAACTGTGACACTAGTCAGCAACTAGTCATTTCATGGAGACAATATAAATTTCGAGAATATCATTTGAAGAGCAATGGACGTGAGATGAATCCTGACAACTGTTACCAGCAACCAAAGAAAATGGATGAGAGAAAATGAAGCTAAGATTTTGTTCAAGCAAGCATGATAAAAAAAAACACGCAGACTTCTGCTAAGCATAACATACAGTGAGTAAAAATTTTCATGACGATGGTATTGACACTGATGATTGCACAAAACTGTCCCATACGATATCACTGTGACTCTTGATGAAAATTTACAAAATGTATCACACAGTTTACATGAAAATGCTGGTCAAATAAATGCAAATGTTTCACCAAAAATAGCATTTCCAATAATATTCTTTTATATTTCACAAAGACATTTATACAACAGGGTTTGTTTCTCATCATACATGACCCAGTAACATTTCCAGTGGATGACTCAGTATGAGAAATAAACATACACATGAATAATCACATTGCTTCTTGCATTTTAAATTCCTCATTTCTCTTAAAAAAAAAAAAAAAGTGGTTCAGAAATATGCCCACTTCCCCAAATACTGCCTAGTTCCAAAGATGTGGTTAAAAATATTTTAAGTGGTTTTGTTATCCTTGTAAGTGCATTTTGTTTGTTATGCAAACAACACATATGCAATTAAAATTTTCACCATGTTTTCAATTTGGGCAGATTTTAACCATAAACTAAAACAGGATTAAGCAAATTATTTTCAAATAGTCTCAAATTATGTTTTGTGGCTTTATATAAAGAAAGGAAGGAGACTAAGTAAGCAAATCAGTGAAAAAAACACTTTTGCCTATTCTAGAATATTGTATCCAAATGAGATGCAGAACATTTATCTGTAAATACATAAACAAAACAACAAAAAACCAAAAGTACACACTATTTGTGTCCTGTTCTATAAAGCTCAGTGCTTTCACGTTTGAAGGCACATAAACATGAACACTTACATCACCTGAAACAACACTGGGATACACTCGAACACGGCTCTGATCTGAAGTGCATCCTTCTGTTATTCTCGCTGCTGGGCAACGTGCTGAGCTGAACCTCAAAACATAAAAACGCTCCCAAAAGTGTGGTACATGTTCAACTACGCTTACTGCACCTTAAGTTTCTTCTGTGGAAAACAAACAGTGGCGTTTAAAACTGTTCAAAGTGGTGTGCAAGGTAACTTAGGTCCCTGGCGAAGACAAACTTGCAACAATGACAGGAATCAAAATAACAGAAACAAAGTACCAGATAAAGTAGGTTCAACCCTTCAAGTTTCTAATAGTTAGTTACCTGGATAACTTAACTTTCTGCTTCACTTGGATTTTGAAGATCATGAGATGATACAGTTTATAGTTATTTGGGCAGAGTAAAACAGAGAATTTGTGTAGTCATATAAAATTCAAGATGAAATACATCAGTATTATTTAAAAGAAATATAAATGAGCTATTATCTGCAATCATGTAGCTCAGAGGTTGGCAGGTCTGTGGACCAAATCCGGTCCGCTGCCTGTTTTCGTAAATAAAGTTTTATTGGTACATGGCCATACCTATTCACCGACACATTGTCTAAGACCCCTTTCACAGCTGAATGGCTGTGCAAGATCTCTAGGGCGGCAGGAACCAAAATACTACCTGGCACTTTACAGGCAAAGTTTGATGACTCCTGACTCAGGTAACTGCCTACATGGTCCAATCCACTTGGCTTCTTAAACAGTACACCAAGATGGCACACTTACATCATAAAGACTTGTGAATATGTATACACCAGTCTAAGCCGAAGATAAGTCCAGGGTCAATGAGAACTATTCACAAACTCTTTTCCATATCAAGAGTCAGAGGAATAAAATTTTGCAAGTTCTTGTTAGTATGTATCATAGGTATGAGTCTTGATGAAAAGTTTAAACAGAGACATACATAAGCATGTTAAATTTCCTTTCAAGTTTAACTTAATTTAGATGCTGATTTTGGACTTGTGGTTCACAAAACTTGAAGTACAACCCCATTATTTTGAAAACCGAAGAAGCTGATGGCTGTGCTAGCCATCCGTCAGTTCCAAGATGCACGTCACTTCGAAGCAGCAAGTGAGTCGCTCACCTGGGGGTGTGTAGGCATCCATCGAGGTCTGCACGACCAGGGACCTGCGCTTGGAGGGCATCGGCACGGCCATCTTCCGCTCTTTGTGTTTAGCGAGAGCCGCCTGAACAGCTTCGGTGTGCACGTCTGAAACAGAGAGAGGGCTTCATCACCCACAGCTCGGCGAGGTCTGAAGGCCCATGCCTTCCTCCTTCCTCTCCGAGCCTGCAGCACCGTCTATCTTCCTCCTGAAATTCACCTACAGATGGATGGGCATGGAAAGAAAAGATGTCTGACCCTGCTGGCTTCAGAGCACCAGTAAAAGACATTAACATTCATTCACAGACTTTTGATTACTCATTTTACTACCACAGAATCTGCATAAATAATCAAATACAGGCTGTAAACTGCTCTGTGATTTTTCTTTTCTTGGGATAAAAGGACCTTGGTCTTGGAGATTTCTTTACAGGGCACGTGTTCAAGCCTACGTCCTCTCAGCGTCCTGCTGGGGGACGTGTGTGCACCATGTACACTTGGCAACATGGCGATGGCCACAGCTCTCCCCACTGGGGCTCAGCTTGGGGCCAAGAGTGTGTAGGGCAACTTGTGGCTATTATCCTGTTATGGTAAGTCCACACACATGTACTGAACGCCTACTTCATGAGGTCGCATCCTAGGGGCTGGAGACAGCGGTGATCAGGCGGATACAGCCACAGGGTCCCACATAGGACACTTTCCAATGAGAGAGACAGATGAGAATTGAAACTGGCTGTAACAGAGATAGATGGAGTGGCTACTCTGAATTGCGAAGCCAGGAAAAGTTCTCTTAATGTGAAATGTGAATAGTAAGAATGAACCAGCCACTGACTGTCAAGATGAGACTCTCCAAGGCACAGACAAGAAGCTACTCAAAGGCCCTACTTAAAGGACAATGGTATCAGCAGAATACAAACACCACCAACAGAGAAAGCCATGGGAGCGAAGACAGGTTGAGGAGGGAGGGAGTCCCCAGGACGCGGGCTCTGGCACGGCTGGGTCTGGACCCCATCCAAGTGTGACAGGAAAGCCCTGGGGATTTGAACAGGGAAGGGGGATCATTCTGGTGGCCTCAGAGAGCCCCACCTGACCCGCCCAGTTCTTTCTCTGAGCAGCTGCCGGAGGACCCGGCTGCCGCTTCAGAGTGGGGCTCAGCCAACCGCAGCCCGAGGGCCACATCCCGCTGCAGCTCTTTCTGCAAATGATGTTTCATCAGGACACAGACACAGTGCTCACATCCACATCGTCTACGGCTACCCCCCCCAAGAGGGCGGCTTGAGCCTTTTGACCATGCCCACCAGGGCCCACAAAGCTGAGGATATGTGCCCAACATGGCCCGTGCCGGAACGCCAGGGAGACCAGCGTGGTCCTGCTCCAGCTGCTGCAGGACACAGATGGATGGAGAGCAGCCCCCTCACCACGGACCCCAGACACAGGTAACCAGAGCAGGACTTGTGGCCTTGTGACCACGAAGACGGCAGGCTGCCGACTGTGCAGCAGAGGTGAGCACCCAAGAACCAACGGAATAACTAAGACGGGTCACTCTCCAAAGGACATCAGTGGCCTGTTGAGGCCCCAGCACTGTGGCACAACGATGCTTCCACGCATCCGTAAATGGCGCCCTGAAGACCCCATCAGACTACACGCCGAATGGCGCCAAGGACGAGAACAGGGTGACCCCTCCCCAACTCGTGCTCTAGGATCCTACCAGCGCAGGCCCTCAGACAGCACGCTGGCCTAACTGAAATGTCTGAGTCGGAATCTACCCCCGTGTGTTCAGTTGTGACCATGTTTGATAAGGCTGGTCCGATTCCAAATATCCAAACCAGAAAGGAATGTTGAACTACCAACACTCCAAACAGGGACTGGATGGACGGCTCTCTGTGGAAAGACGTTTCGAATGTGACGCCCTGTGGCGAGAAGGGGACAAGCCCACGTCACTGACTTCCTGGTCCCCACCTGCCTCTCACTGGGCATGCCCCACAGAGCCAGGTGCTCTTCCAGCGCCCTCCTGGAAGAAACCCTATGTGGCACCTGGTGGAGACTCGCCTAGACGTCCAGCTCAGAGGGCTGCGAGTCTACTAGCCAGGGGCTTGGACCCTGTGGGTGAGGGGGGCGGAGGGCTGAGCACAGGGCAAGGGGGAGCATGACGAAATCCGTCTTCCACGAGAGCCAATGCCGACGGGCCACAGGGAGGCCCGGCCAGTCTGGGCGGCCTAGATGCCACAAAGGGGACCACGCTGGACGGACACACGGGCTGGAGAAAGAAGGGGGTCGGCCGAGAGCGAAGAAGAGAAAGCCCAGATCCACCCCGAAAGAGCTCACATGGGGCTTTTGGGAAGAGATGACCACGTGGGTCAACAGGCGGCTACAACACAAATCCTCCCCTGAAAACTCCGCGTCGTTTCATAGACAGAGCCTAGGGGTGAAACCCAGCAGCTGTGAGGCAGGAGAAGTCCTTCAAAGCATCTGATGAAGTGTCCCGCAGACGCTAAGTATCCTGGACAGTTTCGCCCAGCCACGGGTATTAGAACTCAGATGAGAGGCCGCGAACGGGAAATAATGGGACGCAGAAATCTCCTGCTGGATTGAAGATACTGGCAGGATATTGGAAGCCTCAGCAAACGTGTGCAAATATCATGATCTCTGGGTTTTTTTCTTTTTTTTGAGTTGGCATCTCACTCCGTCGCCCAGACTAGAGTGCAGTGGCATGCTCATGGCCACCCCAGTGTCAACCCACTGGGCTTAGGTGATCCTTCCGCCTCAGCCTTCCAAGTAGCTGGAACTACAGGCACATACCACCACACCCAGCTAGTTTTTTGACTTGTAGAGAAGAGATCTCGCCAAGTTGCCCAAGCTGTTCTCGGACCCTTGGGCTCAGGCAATCCTCTCACCTCAGCCTCCCAAAGTGCTGGGATTACAGGCTTGAGGCACCACGCCCAGCCATGGGCGCCCACGACGGCGACAAGGTCTGTGGGTCACACTCCACTCAACACACAAACGTGTCACGAGCGCCTACGGACATCTGCGCTGCGAACAGCTTGGAGAAGACAGCCTGGCTGTACTGCCCGCTTCAGGCTCCCAGAGACAGCCGCCGCTCCCCAGCATTTCTACACGTCCGGGAGGACACGCGCCAGCAGCAGCGGACAGCGATGCCTCAGCCACAAGAGGCCAGGGAGTGGTGGCTTGCAGCTGCACGTCCGTGGAAAACCTTTTAGCCTGGATCCGCAAGGTGGCATTAACGTATGACCCAAGAAGTGAGAAAAGCAGTCACCATGCAGGGAGTGCTGAGTGAGAAAGGGACAAGGCAGGAGGTGGGCACGGCTGGACTCAGGCTGGTGGGGCAGACGTGGGTGTCCTGAGGAGACCACAGGGCCCCAGAAGCAGGGTGCGGGCCGCTTGGAGGAGACCACAAAGCTGCTGCCCTGGGCACGCACAAGGCGGACTGGGAGGCAGAGCCCCGCTCCCAACACCTCCAGCTCCCTCCACGAAACACACACACTCAGAGCCATGGCCTCCAGAGAAGGCAGCACAGGGCAACCTGAGGCTGGGAGGCTGGCGGGGCCGGGCGGCGCTTCCGGCCTGCCCTTCCTCCGCGGCCGCGATCTGAGGCTTGCTCGCTTTAGGCTTTCATTCCCAGAGCCCCAAAGCAGGCGTCCGTGGTGAGAAAGGGTGATTCCGGATCAGCTTCGTGCCGCAGCAAAGCACCAGAGGAGTCTCGCTGGAGACGACTTGTGGCGCTTCTTGGACAAACGGTGTGCTAAGAGACCTCTTCAGCGGAATTCCTGAAAGGACTGAAATGACAACAGGCCACTCAGCGTGTCATCTGGTGCTGGAGACCAGAAAACAGTCTCTCTCCTGGCAAGAGTCCGCCCAGGCTTGGTACCGCCGCACACACAGCACGAGGCCGCGCCTTGCACGTCTCCATTCCGGCCAGCGCCTCTTCCTCCAATGGCCGCCGTTTCACCGGCCGCAAATCCGCTCAGTCTCCTCTCCTCCAGCCGGACCGCAACAGGGACCCGGCCCTGTTCTGACTTCTCATGATCTCTGCCTCCTCAGAGAAACTCACTTTTCTTTCCACACAGTTCCCTGAGTTGAGACTGTCTTGAAAGGAAGCTGTGAGGGATTGAGCGACGCAAAATGTTCCTGCTTCTGGGGAAACAAAAGAATACGGATTAAGAGTCCAGGCCTGGTACTGGAATCCCCGCTGCCTGTAAGCACTGCGTATGTGTTTCAATCCCTCTCAGGCTCCCTCTCATCGCCTGCAGGATAGAAACAATACCACAGCACTGTGGAGATCACGTACGACAGAATGCACAGAGCAGACCAGCAGCTCCCTCCGAGAGCACTTGAAGATGAATGACTGCTGTTTCCATTAACATTTGGGAGCAGGGGGTTAGTCACAGTAGGTTTTCAAAACTGGAAAAGCCCAGAGGGACTGGACTGCAGACGGCTCCACCTTGCTCTCAGGTACTGACTTGAGGATCTCCTGGAGTGGCACCGCCAAGGGCACTCGTGTCCCGCAGGGCCTCGGGTAACGCAGGCTCACCCTGCACAGGTGTCCTTCCGCGGCTTCGCGTCAGAGACACAGGACGATTCTGCCAACATCACATCTGGAGGGCAAGAGGGAATCCGGTGACAAGGCTGGTCACCTTTGCACGGGAGGAAGGAAACATCGCCAGGCCAGTCTCTGCAGCTCTGACCAGCCCCGGAAGGGCAGGCCCAGGGGCGGTCACCAGGCCCTTCTCTTCACGAGACTCCCGCACTTTGCCGTCCCTTGTCAGAAGTTTAAATGAGGTCGCTGAGCCGATTCGCGCTCTTGGCGTAGGAACAGAGGGCTCCACTTTCACTGGGTTTCAGCAGACTGCAATTGGTTTGGAACTGGCATCTCACAGTGTGAGAGCAAGGAGCAGAGCAGGCTCAGAGACTCCAGCCCAGCCGAGTGGTGGGAGAAGACTGACGGGAAAGGAACACATGGGCCGAAGGCGGAAGGGAGGTGCAGAAGCAGCCGCGGAGGTCACAGCCCAGGGTCCGCCGTGGGCCTCACGTGTGCCAGCTGTGGACAGCTGGCCACTTTCGACTGGCCAAACTCCGCGACTGGCACAAGAAGA